CCGATTGCCCCTGCCCCTGGAGGCCCCCCCCCCCCGGTTTGCCCCCTATGCTGTTTCTGAGGGGCCACAGACTCCCTGGAGCAAAATTTCAGGGGGCTCACTGGACCGCAAGAGGAGAGAGAAGTGGAAAAGCTGGGCTGTGCCAAGTCCACATTATTAGTAACCAACAAACCCATCTTGGTGGCCCTGATCAGGCAGAAAGACAGGATCAGAAATACTGGAAATAAACAAATGGTACTATTTACCTGTTCAGAGCCATATCAGCAGAGGTCCACAACACAGAGCAAGAGGCCGGAAGCCCATCACGACCAGCCCTTCCGATTTCCTGGTAGTACGATTCCATCTCCTTTGGGGCACCATAATGAATAACCTTCCGGATGTCTGGCTTATTGATGCCCATTCCAAAGGCTACAGTAGCTACAACGCACTGGAAAGTAACCATAATGGCATAAGGTTGGACTCGGCTCTTATTTATTTATTTGGAAAACATAATGTGCCGCCTCTGCATAAGGCCTGCTCAAGGCAGTTTGAAACAACAAAACAAAACACAGCTGTTAAGAAACATAAAAATGCATTAAAACAAGCCATTAAAATGGCATAAAACATACAAAAGCCAGTATAGAACAACACTGATAAGAGTCCTCAGACCGGAAGCAGACCATAAAACAACTAAAAAAAGATAAAAAACCCTTAAAGCTGGGGTAAAAAGGGATGCTTTGGTTTCTTGCCTAAAGGAAAGTGAGGTTCTTGGCCAGGTGAGCCTTAATGGGGAGGGCATTCCAAAGGAAGGCACCACCACTGAAAAGGCCCAGTCTCTGGTTGCCACCTACCTCATCTCTGCAGGCCAGGGCACAGAGAGCAGAGCTTGTAAGGAGAACCTGAACTACTAGGCTGCTCAGTATGGGTGGAGCCAGTCCTTCAAGTTCCCTGGCCCCTAAGACACTGAGTGCCTTGAAGGGAAGAACTGGCACTTTGAATTGTGCCCAGAAACTGATGGGTAGTCAAGGCAGTCTTTCAGCACAAGCGTGATACAATGACTCCATCTGAACCCCAACAACAACCTGGCTGTCATATTTTGAACCAGCTGTGGTTTCCAACTTACAGCTGAGTTATCAGCTATTTCCTACTCCAGACCTAGATGAGAGTGGAATCCTGGGAGTCAACTTATACTTGAACAGCCCCAGTGGCTCTCAAACTGTTCAGTGAACAGTGAATAATACAGATCAGAAAACTGAAAACAGCAGCAAAAAACCCGCAAGATGTGAATAACATTTAGTGTTTACATAGCACTTTGTTCTTCAAGTGTTCAAAGTACTCTGCCTAGATCAAGGGTGTCAAACATAAGGCCCAGGGGCCGGAACCAGCCCATCCAGGGCTGTTATTGGCCCGCGAACAACTGGTTCAAGGGAGGGAGTGCTGGGGGGAGTGGGGAGAGCCACTCCATTGTGGCTTCAGCACAGCAGAACTTCATCTGCAGCAGTTAGGCATCATGGGAGCATCTGCCCAGCACTGCACTGCTGTCTCTCCAGTCTGCCTGTGTGGGTTTTCTTCTGCACCCTCCTCCCAGCCCATGGGGCCTTGCAGTGAGGATACACCAACTTGGAGCTTACAAGCTGCTCTCCTTTATACAGTTTCTATCTCTGGTACCTGGCATTACATTTTATGGCACCCATGGCCTGGCCCGACAAAGTGACATTTATTTTAGATCCGGCCCTCATAACAAATGAGTTCGACACCTCTGGCCTAGATTTTCTTGTTACTGATAATGGCTCTTACAAAATAAGGAGCACAGAGAAGAAACTTAGGAGTACTAGCCCCTGGCCAGCAACCTTTTATCATGACTAAGTCCCAATGAAAAGCCACAGAATGAGACGTGACGCTGACACCATGAATGTATAATTGGAAGTCAGCATTGAGCTGAAATCTGTTTCCAGATGTTCAGAAGACCTCACCCACAGTCACAGCTACCTTAAATACCACTGACGTCAAATGGGACTTGGTTGTGGTGAATGGTCGAAAGACTGTGGCTGTCACGCTTAGGTACAAAGAACAGGAGCTGTTTGCCAAAAAAACTGAAATATATTTAGTATAAGCAAGATGGAAAGCCCCCTCTATTATCCTCTGCATTTGGCGTATCTCACAGCATTGCTTCTCTGATCTTATAATACTGCTTTACTCTGTTAGCACATTCCCTAATGTCGTTGGTTCTTCATATTGTACTGTTCTTACTGCATTGCCGTAATCCCCCCTCAAGCCTCAGAGAGAAAGGCAGACTATGAATGATCAAATCAGGGTTCCCTTCTTGTGCCTGCAGGCACATTTGGAATTCTGACACAGCAGGATGGGCACAGAAACAAAATGGCTGCCACAAAATGGCTAGCGCAGGAGGCTCAGCCAGCCTCAAAATGACTGCCACAACTTAACGTCATAAAACAGTGAAAATCCTCGTGAAGTGGTGGCAGCAGCTGCTAAAGCAACCTCTTAAAAAATCTGCACAGCCAATCCAGTCTCCAATGGCCAATCAGAAGCCTTGCTGGGCAATAGCCCTACCTGGCCCCACCTACTTCCTAAAAACACACGGTGGGTGCAGAAAAGGTGCCGGTGGATGCCATGGTGCCCACGGGCACCACCTTGGGGGGCCCTGAAGCAAATAAAGAGCCACATAATGTCCCATGGTAAGTAAATTAAATCTCCCTCATACCTGAATTTCGTCTCTCATGAAACTATGGTGGACATCTCGCCTCGCTTTGATTCCCATGCCGGCGTGGTATGTACGGCACGGAAGATTCAGTTTCGACAGCTCTGCAGCTACCTGTTCAGTTATCTTCCTTGAAGGGCAGTAAATAATAGTGGGACCTTCAAACTCATAAGCAGATCTAAGGATTCAAAGAACAGGTTGAAAGCTACTGTGTTATGAAATGTCTGATGGAATACAGGGAAAGAAAATTTGAGATTAACCTTAGGACAAATATGTATGATAACTTCCTTCTTTAAAATGAGCTTTATTGATTCAACTATTTATGTCCACTCCTGTGGAAGCACAGGCCTTCTTAAAATTTTAATAATTTTTATTAAATAAGTATAAGACAACTGATACAGAGAATCTTAAACAATACAAACTATTTATCATTAATAATATTCTTGATATTCTATTCAGTATATCTGTCTAAAACTTAACTGATTAAAACTCTTAACGTGTTTTCTAATAATACAGTTGGGTTAGCAACCATCTTGTATAAATGTAAGAATTTGAGTTCTGCTAGCTAGTATTTATTGATCAAAATTAAAACATTAAATCTGGGGTTTGTAGAATAAACACTTCAGACGAAACTAAATAATCAGGAATAATTCCATTCTGTGCCATGTAGCTTATGACCGGAAACCATTTTTCAACAGGCCTTGATTGTGATTGTGGTTCAGAGGAGATTGAAACAATCGAACATGTATTTCTCTATTGTAGTTTGCATGAGGACATTCGGGCAGCCTATTTAGAAGATATTCTTAAGAATGATGCCAAGCAATCTGATGACAGATTGTTGTATCGTTTACTGGCTTCACAAAACATAGCGGTTATTGAAGTGGTTGCCAAGTTCTGTAGCTGCCTTATAATGAGGAAGCTGTGTGTCAAATCCATGAACTGAATGGCGACTGTATGATTATGATCTATGCCAATAAAGGTTTTGAACTTGAACTTGAACAGGCCTTGATGTACAGCTAAACTGTCTCCTGTAGTACTTCTTCTCAAATGGAAGCTGAATTGTGATGGGACAGAAGTACTGATTGTTGGGCAGGCCATGTGATATGAAGAGGCTCCCATTAGAAACTGGGTTCACCTATCGCACCTCACTCTGCTCCATCACTTCATTCAGGCTGGCGGGCTGAGCACGCTCCTAGATCGACTGCGATGAAACTGGGGCTTCTGATGGTGATGGCCAAGGGGACTTTCCCCTCAGCTGAGAGCCAGCATAGTAAAGTGGTTAAAGTAGGGGATTTGGGAGACCCAGGTTTGAATCCCCACTCTGCCATGGAAGCTTGCTGGGGGACCGTGGGCCAGTCACACACACTCAGCCTAACCAACCTCACAGGGATGTTGTGAGGATAAACTGGCAGAGAACAACATAAAGTCCTTTGGGTCTCCACTGGGAAGAAAGGCAGGGTATAAGTGAAGTAAATATACTCCACCTGGTGAGAAAGCACCATCCTTTCTAACACATGGGGATATGAAAACTACTGTCACCCTCAGGAATAGACTCACTTCTTGGCACAGTTCAAGGCACTCATTATAAGCTATAGGGTCAGAAGGACCCACAGAAAACATCCCATTCCCAAGTGTCCCACTGTAATCTCTGAGAGCAATCATGGGCACCCCTTTTAGTGATATCATTCACCATGCAAAGGTGTCTTATAGAACTTCCTCACCTTACAGACTCATCACACTCGAAACCTATACGATTTTGTAAAGACCTGTCTATATCCAGAGGGAACTCGATGATGATATCGCAGTCAAACGGCTTTAATGAACATTTATGCATTTGAGTAACATACTCAGGTGTTTCAGATCACATGGGAAATAACATTAATAAAATACCCAAGAGGAACGTTCAAACAAGTCGCTTCTAGCAAAGAGAAGCCAAAGTATATGCTCACTTTTCTTTTTTAATAAGGAACTGCTGCAGATCTTGGATAATACTCCCCGTTTTTCGTCCAACTTCTAAGTACAGGTTCGGCCGATCGAAGCTAGTGCATGTTATCTGAGGAGATTTTAAGTTTAGACAACGCACAATGTCATCTCTAATGGAAGGGCTTGCTGTTGCAGTGAGAGCCATAATAGGAACCTGAAAAAGAAGGGGGTGGGAGCAGAAAAAAAAAATCAGGGGAACAGACAAAAGAAAGGAATCGATAAAAATTCAAACTGCTAACACTTTTTTTATATCATAATCCAAAATTAAGGCATAAAAGATAATGGTACCTGCCCTGAGCCTGCTTCAGCGGGGAGGGCAAGGTAGAAATAAAATAAAATAAAATAAATTATTTGATTCCTAATAACATTTGTAGGAGCTGCCGTGGCTCAAGTGGTTAAGATGCTTAACTGCAGGCTGTGGATGGTCAGTAGTTCAGCAGTTCGAGACCCGAGTGTGCCGCATGATGGAGTGAGCTCCCGTCTCTAGTTCCAGCTCCTGCCAACCTAGCAGGTTGAAAGCAAGAAATTGCAAGTAGATAAATAGGTACCACTTCAGTGGAAAGGTAACAGCGTTCCGTGCGCCTTGGTGTTTAGTCATGCCGGCCACATGACCACGGAAATGTCTTCGGACAGCGCTGGCTCTTCGGCTTTGAAACAGAGATGAGCACCACAACCCTAGAGTCGGATTCGACTGGCTTTCGAACAAGGGAACCTTTACCTTTTTTAATAACATTTGTGTGCTGTCAAGTCACAACCAGCTAGTGGCGACCCCAGGACTATTGGGTTTTCAAGGCAAGAGATGAGCAGAGGTGGTTTGCCATTACCTGTCTCTGCATAGAAATCCCTGTATTCCTTGGTGGTCTCCCATCCAATACTAATTGCTGCTGACCCTGGTTAGTGTCTGAGATCTGATACGTTCAGGCTAGCCTGGACTATCCAGGCTGCTACATGATTTGGTTATAATAACTCATATGCGTCTGTGTTACACACATGCTCTTGTCCAGACTAACTTGGACTATTCAGGTTGCTACATGATTTGATTAAACTAATTCAAGTTTGTGTGTGTTACACACGTGTTCTTGTCCAGGAGATTCAGACAACTGTTCATCGTCTTCACAGGACCTCAAGAACAATATTCAAGTTTCTAATCCTCACTGTCGCTGTTGCAAATTGTTGAAAAAGGACTAGAAACTAGATCAGGGGTGTCAAAGATATGGCACGCGCAAGGCTGCAATCCGGCCTGAGACCAGCTGACTCTGTGCTGCTTCCTGGTTCCTGTTCGCAGCTCCTTTTCCCCAGTCTTTCCTATTTCCTGCTTCAAGAGGAGAGAAAGAAAGCCTTCCCTCCATTGGCTGAGAGCTCCTCCCCCTCCCCCTTAGGGGAGGGAGGGGGAGGAAGAGAGACACAGAGGGGGGGGGGAATGGTATCTCGTGGGACTTTTCAGAAGACCAGGGAGGGAGGGAGCCATCCAGAGGGAGAGAGACAGAGACAGAGACAGAGACAGAGAGAGAGAGAGAGAGAGAGAGAGAGAGAGAGAGAGAGAGACAGAAGTGTCCTGTGTTCAGAACCAAAAATGTTTTATTCCAGGTATTGGGGGGGGGAGTCTTTTTTCCAGGTATGGGGGAGAAGAGTCCTGCGTTTAGACCCAAAAATGTTTTTTTCAAAGTATGGAGGGAAGAGTCCTGTATTTAGACCCAAAAATGTTTTATTCCAGGTATGGGGGGACGAGTTCTGTTTTCAAACCCAAAAACATTTTATTCCAGGTATTTGGGTGGGGGGATTCGTGTGTTTAGACTAAAAAAAAATTATTCTGGTATTTGTGGGGGGAGTCCTGGGTTTAGACCCCCAAAATGTTTTATTTCCATTTATTCTTTACAACCTCCTAGACTGAATCCTCCTGTACTAAATTGAGACCTAGGTTTCCTGTCTCATTTACCAATACTGATATCTCCACGCCTCTGTATATCACACCAGTGCTGATAGCTCCACCCCACTGCATATCACACCTAATCCAATCACGCCTGCTATTGCCATTTGGCATCTGAAACCATCTTTATAAAGTTTTTATCTCTGGTAACTTTGTGTTGCATTTTACAGCACACATGGCCCAGCCCGACAAAGTGATATTTATGTCAGATCTGGCCCTCTTAACAAATGAGTTCGACACCTCTGCACTAAATGTACTTGTGGAATCCTCTAAGGTATATCCCCCCCCCTCACTTCCATCTCCCATGCCAGCATTTATACTGAACACTCACTAGTGAAAAGGAGCCACAGTCATGCTCCCTTTACTTTTCCCTTCTGCTCACTGCCGGGGCAAGTCTTAAAAGCTTATCCATGCGTAATAGTCCAGAGTTGGGAATGGACTGCAGGATTTCACACACTCCCTTCTCCTGGTCCTCATCTCACTGTATACCTCTCATATTATTTATGCCTAACACTCTATGGCTCAGTTCAGACAGGTCGCGGTTTATGACCAGCTAGCCTTATCAGATTCAGAAGCCATGGTCTGTTAAAAAAAATATATCACAATTTCGAGCCAGTTATGATGCAGTGCGATGTCTGAATTCACAAATCATAGTTATGTGCTAGCAACGTGAGTAGGAAGAAGCCGGAAGTCAAAGTGGCAAGCCAATCTAAACCACAGTTTGCCTCAGTGTCTGGAAACAAACAAAATCATCTGGGTTCTAGACAGAGGTCATTTCAGGGGGAATGATGAAGCCCCGCTCCCTGCTTCCGGCCGCCCTGCTTCCAGCCCTCATTCAGCCAGGAGAAGGCAGGAGAAGAGGGAGGGTAAGTTGCTTCCTCCCCGCCTCTCCCCACCCCTGCCTGCCTGGGGCCAGGGAGGGCCTTGGCGGGGCTTCCTCGCACTCCCGCTGGCCTTGCAGGTCCACCGCCGGGCCCCTGATGTCAGGGGGTGTGGCATATGCTAATGAGTTATGCTAATGAGTTCCCCCCTAGCTCTTTTTCTACGAAATGACCCCTGGTTCTAGACTATGGTTAGCACAAACCGCAGTTTGCTGTGGTGCCTGAAATGAGCCTCTGTTGGTGTTAGGCAGGTGTTACAGGCAGAGAGTGATATGTAATGGGAAGGATCGCATTTTACCAGACAACTAAATTGGGCTGTCCAACTGTATCACAAGGAGTGCTCAAAGTCAACAGAGTCCTCTGAAGCAGCAGCTACCTCTGATAAAGCACCCAGCATAAAAACAAAACAGATCAGATGTAGTTAATTTATCATTTAAACCCTTAACATTCTTTTGCAGCAAGGACAACACTTTACCTCAGGAAGAGTTGTCTTTAATGACCCCAAAGACCTGAAAGAGTTCCTGAAGTCGTGTCCCCATTCAGAAATGCAGTGCGCTTCATCAACAGCTATCAGCGTCAAACCTGGGAGAAAATTATCACAGTGCTTTTATTATCGAGTAGGCTAGGATGGGGGCAGCCACAAATGGACTTGTGTGTGTATGTCTCATTGCTGCAGTGCATCCAACTTCCTAAGAATATTTTTACTGTTGTGGGGAGGGGTGGTTTCAGGAAAACCCATCAAATTTGTAGCCCTGCTTGCAAATATAGGCTTGAAAATGTGTTGATGATGCTATCATGGGCCAGCTTGACCAGCCTGAGTCCAGTGTGGCTGAAGACTCCTCAGGAATCGAGGGTCCACATGCAACTAGCTCTGAACCAGCTAAAGTTAGCGAATTAGAGAGCTTCAAGATTCATTGCCAGCAGCTGACCTTGACCCCTCCAGGCCCAGCTCTGAAGTAGCCAACAAAGGACAGCTGTGGGAAAGTAGCCCAACAGGCTCCCCCCTCCAGTTAACTGAACAGCGAAAGGAAAAGCTCCAACAAGACTTAAGGACCGCAGACAGAGTGCTCGCCTCTTGGCTCGGCACCAGCTGCTTAATGATAGCAGTTCCAAACTTACCAATCGACCGCTCGAGTTCCTGAAGCCACGACAAGTTCCCCAAACAGAACTCTGGAGTCATGTAGACAACTTTATAGCAGCCCCTATGAAAAAAACAAAAAGAAAGAAGCATCGTCACCAGCCAGAAGTGAAGAGCTGAAGAATTCGTACCACAGAAATCTAAAGCTGACAGTTTGAGGTCTGCCTTAAGAAACATTCAAAAGCAACTTTAGAAGGTATGCAGTAAAATGCACTTTGATTACCTGTTTTAGAAAATTAAATATTCTCCCCTTTCTGTTATTGAAATAACATCCAAAAATGGCTTATGGCAATAATATATAAAAGCAAATTGTGGGGAGCAAACATTGGTGCAAACAAAAATACTCAGCAATTTATAGAGCAATCCTATGCAGACTTAGTCCATTTGATTAGTTATTGTATTAAGGGGAGGGACTAAGAACTTATAAAGGGAACTGCCCAGTTATAGTATATGTCGGATCGGGGTCAGTCACACCAGCATGGAAAGCTACAATTACATTTGAGACGCCAGACTTTTCCATCTTTGAGCTCTGCATCCAGAAACCTGGTAACAAGATGCAGATGTTCCCCCATCTCTTGGTGAAGTGACCATAGACCAATGAAAAAAGGAAAAAGAACTGTGACAATTTAGCGCTTGGTAATATATTCATAAATCATAATATGCAATAACAGAAAATAAGTACGGTAATATATATAGTGACGATGGTCTCCGGAATGGTGTGCCGTTTCGACAACGATCTTCTTCTGAACAAGGATGTGTACATAAACTGTCTTTCAACAATTCATTTCTCTTGGTGATGTATTGAAAATATACTGTTGATTCACTTCATCATAAAGCTATGCTTACAGCTATGTTCTTCAATGGGCTATAACTGTCTTTCAACAATTCATTTCTCTTGGTGACGTATTGGAAATATACTGTTTTCATAAAAAATGAAAATAAATTCTGGAGAAAATATACTGTTGATTCACTTCATCATAAAGCTATGCTTACAGCTATGTTCTTCAATGGGCTATAATTGCTGAAGGCAGTATATTTTCAATACGTCACCAAGAGAAATGAATTGTTGAAAGACAGTTTATGTACACATCCTTGTTCAGAAGATCATTGTCGAAACGGCACACCATTCCGGAGACCACCGTCACTATATATATTACTTATTTTCTGTTATTGTATATTATGGTTTATGAATATTTTACCAAGCGCTAAATTGTCACAGTTCTTTTTTCCTTGGTCTTATTACTGTGCCCATTCTTGTAACTATTCTCTGCAAGTGACCATAGAGACAGGAGCTTTGGCGCTCCAGACCATCCTCCTTATTTTTGTAGCTATACCGCTCCATCCCGGAGGCTCTGAACGGTTTACATGGGTATTTAAACTTCCTAGCTAGGGCCACACAATGTAGGGGAGGTGATTGCCTACCAGGCACCCCGCCGGCTTTGATATTCCTGTGGCTTCCTGGTGGTGGTTCGGCGCGGCTCCGCAGTGGCTCCTTCAGGGGAAGTTCCCATAGACCGCGACTGTGTGATGACTTGCTGCACTGGCCTCTGTCCGATTGGCTCCGGCCATGCTGCGTCGCTGCATCGCCGCGACCCTGGACCAGTCCCTGCCCGGAACACCAGCTGCTTGATGTCGACGCGCCGCCATGTTCTTATACTCACTTATACTTACTCAGTGGCTCAGGAGCTAAAGTGGCTCTCCAACATGACAGCTGTGGATCTTCTGAGCACCCTTCTCCAATTTGGCATGCGCTCCATGTTTCAGGAAAGTGAGCAGGGCCATTGCCAGTTGGGGCTTGTAGCTGGCAGGTAGAAGAACAGGTAACCTACAAAGCTCCCACAGGTGCAAGCTTGGTGCCAGGGATGGAAGTAAATGTGGCTCTTTTGGTTTATGGTAACTGCAACCAATGCTCCCTCTAAGCTATGGAGTCTTGTGAGCAAAAATTCTACTTTGTGAGCTCCTGGCATTAAAGTTGTGACTGAGCAATTTGGCTGCTGCATAAAGTAGTTTGCCCTGGAGCCATCCTTCCTGAGCTCAGACAAAAATGTGTGAGCCAGAGGCTAAAAAACTGTGAGCCAGCTCACACTAACTCAGCTTAGAGGGAATACTGATTGCAACTGTGGCTCTCTGAGAGCTGCTGAGCAAGTACCACTCTAGAGAAAGTGCCAAAACAGGATGTGGCTTGCTCTTCAAAATCAAAAGTCCCCTACTTGGAATGTCCAACTCCTTGGGTTCAAGCTCAAATTGGGTCTTGAGATACCAGCTAACATAAAAGGAAACTGGAAGCACGTGTAACATCTTGAAAAACCTTCATAAAATGTATACAGATTTCCTAATGAATTGCAATGCATATTTTCACAACTTGAGAAAAGAAAAAGTAAAGAGAAGAGAGGGAGTGGCAGGGAAGGAGGGCTTACGCTTTGATATCCTTTCGGACGTTTTTTGACTGTGCTGACCCAAGAAGGCAAGCTGGAATTCCTGACATCCTGCAAGAAAACACCATTAAAAGGGTTTGGCTCTCTATAGGAAAGTAACTTTTGATGTTTCATTCAATTTAGATGTGACAACGTTTTCCTATTATGTCTTTTAAGGAGGGGTGTGGAAGCAGGACAAAATTGTGCTCTCTTATGAACTATCAAGATCAGGTCTGAAAAAGGATTGGGGATGTGAAGTGAAAGGATAAGTTCTAGATGCCGGAAGAACTGCAGATTCCCCATACTACATTCTTTTTTAAGTACTGCACCAAATGCATGGTGCAAGGAAGTGAAACTCATTTACACTTCCTCTCTCATTCCCTCTTTGGAATGTCAAAAGGCACACTATTTAAAAAGTGTTCCTTCAAAACTGTTCCAAGTATTAAATCTTCTGTTCATTTGTTCTTCTTTCAGAGAACCAGGCTATTCACCAAACAAAAACGAATCCCCTGAGCAGAAAACGTACAACATCTTACAGTACATGTTTACTAACAGGCTAGTTCAAAGAATATATTTTGGCCACAGATGTTTGTAGAAGTTCAGGTGCACGAAATATTATGCGGGTACCGTTTACATGTGCAAATTTCACAGCATTTGGCGGCCGCGGCACAATGAGAAAGCAGCTCAATTTGTGCAGACAAGTTCTGTACCCTGCTCTGATGAGCCTTTTGTATGGATTCTTCAACAATTGAGATTCTTTAGACCCCTTGAAGATAAACTGATTTAATGTGGCACAGTGCCAAAGACTAGAACGCGCTTCACCAAATGCATGAAGTATTATCCTCAGCTGCAAGAGTTTCAGTAAACAGAATATACACACAGATGTCTGAGTTTTATGGAGTAGCATGTTTGGCTGCAGTAAAAAAAACCACACCAAACTAACACCATTATGAGAGCAATCCTTTTTTAAAAAAAATCCCCTGAAGACAGGGTAGCTAAGCGGGTCTACTCAGAAGCCTACTTGGGTCCATTCAGTGGGGTTTACTCCCAAGAAAGTGTTCTTAGGACTGCACTGTGAGAAGCAGCACAAAGCCTGTACAGCCCCACACTTTGCACGTACCATACCTGCAATAGGAAGGTGAGGCAAAGAGCCAGTACAACCAGGTAACCACCCCACCTAAAACTAGAATACAGCGAAACCTCTTTTTGAATTTAGCACTTGGTCCTCCCCATACACACAGAGAGAGACACCCTTCACTAATACAAAAGAGTACCTCTGGAGGACACCATTCACCGCTTAGAGTGCTGATCTCTATTCTGAATAAATTGAGCTCTTAATTTTACAGCATGTAAACGGTTGACATGGATTACTTTTAGGCTCCCTCTCAGCTTGATCTGCTGACACCCTTGAGAACTGGTTAATTTAGTAAAAGTTACTGAGGAATTTGTGAATACTTCCTATTTGTAATAAGCACAGTTTGTTTTTAATTAACTGGGCAAACGTTAATGTATCATCTGTATGTATTATTTTGTGCGTCACAGTTTTCAATTCTACCATCTTCCTGCAGTCTGTTTTTTCAAAGCACCTTGATTATTTTATCAGAGCAAGAGACACAGAATCATTGTAAAACTGCCTCTATCCTAAACAGATTATGAAAACAATCTTTTTTGTTCAGAAGAGAAAAGAAAGATCAAACTTTACTTAGTTTTTGGTTCCGCCCACCAAATTGTTTTTTGGGTTTTTTTTTAAGCCCCCGGAGGGGATTATTTATTGATTTTTTAAACACTACAAAAACTAGAACAGAAAAAAGGGAAAGGAAAAGCTACATAAAAGGGAGAAAGTAAAGAACCCACTACTAACTAAAAACCCAAGAGAGATCTCCAACTAGCTTTTTATACTTCATTCAGACTTTTCATCTTTGTACTTCTTATGAACTGTGTCAATCTTTTAACCCTTTTAACTATCCCCAGTTACATTTAATTGCCCAATTACAGTGCCCACCATCATCCCTCCCACCAAATTGTTATTTAAGCTGATGACCATGCTTAGGGCCAAGCTTATTTCTCAGAAGCCTTCTGTGAAGTTTCTTGGGCTTGGATGTGGCATTTTGGGGCATTCTCTGGGCTGCAACAAAGAACATGGAGACCAACAAGCCCTCAAAGCAGCCGTGCAGCTGCAAAAGGTTATCGAGAACAAATCAATACCCAAGACTTACTCGAGTTGGAGTACCTGGTCCTCCATTAAAGAAATAAGGGGAGAGATGACTATTCCAGTACCTCCGGTGTATACAGGTGGAAACTGAAAGCACAAACTCTTGCCATACCCTAAAAAAAAGCACATACTGCATGAGAAAGGCACTGCATACAAAGGCTGAAAAGATTTTACTCTCACTGTCCTCCCAAATCTTATCAGGCTTTGTAATGTTATACACACCCACCCACACATTTTAACTAGACACTAGTAAGAACTCCCCAACACTTTGCAGATGGCAAATTAAGGCAGGTTTCTGTGATTTTGGAATTTAGATTTCATAGATACATAGAGATTTACAAAAAGGGCAAAAAGATCCCTTCAGTTCCCCAACTCCAATCTCCCAGCTTCAAATTTTAAATTCCCAGCTCTATTCTTACGGTAGAATCAGGTACAGGCATGGTTTATTGTTATGTGAACAATTCTGGAGAGCCTCGGGCTCCCAAATTCCCTCCTCCAACTGCACATGGCTCGAAAATTAAATACTTTGGCTTTCAAAATAAACCACAGTTTGTCATGATGCCCAAACCACAAACTATGGTTTGTTATCTTCCTTCTGAAAAAGAATTCCAAGACACAGTCTTATTGTTCTTTGAAATCCTGATTTGGTGGGAAGAGCACAAACCAGTTTGTGGTTCAGATGTACTGACAATCTGTTGCAAAAGTAAAATTATGGAGCTGTGTGCTAGGAGAAAAGGGAGGGAGCACATGAATCCAATAATGCCCCCGGCTCCAATGTAATGACAAACCATAGTGTGCAGTTATGCCTTTTGAGAATGTCATCTCTCCCTCCAGATTCCCATAAAGTTCCACTCGTACATTTATGTTACAGTGGCATAAACATTCTCTTTGCTGTTTACTCCCTAGATACTCTCCTAACTACATTGCAATACGTGTTTTATGGCACCAAACCAATACACCACCATAAACGCTAACATCCTCATCTGCAGCAACTTGCACATGTTGTGTTATACTCATCTAAAACAATATTTCATAAATGTAACACACCAGTTGCCATAACAACGAGGTTATCTCTTCTGTCTTGCAAAACCGAAGAGATCACTTTCCACTGGACCCTTGAAATGAAAGAAAGACAGGAAACAACATGTTCTATTTCAACTATAACATCTGACAAGATGAGCGTAATCTTATTCGGCAACTGAACAGCCATAGGAAACAGACACATTTCTTTCAAAAGAAAAGAAAGTTTTCCAGTTTTAACTGAGGAATTCTAAAAATTTGTTTCCTCAGTGTTACTTCTTCCCCCCTGTGTGGTCGCAGAGAACTGAGGGAATATGGCTGCCACCTTGAAATACCTAGGCCGAGTCCTTTTCTCTCTCCTGGTTTTTTTTTTTTTTTTGAGGGGGGGGGTCAAATCTTAAGCCCATGAATCACAATTCATGGCACTGGCCCGATGAATTAACCTGGTGGACACCAACCCAGGAAGTCTTGGTACTTTTTTTTGGGGGGGGGGTTGTTTTTGAAAAAGGTGTTTTATATAAAGTGTATTTTGTAAGCCCCTTTGGATCCCCACTAAAGAGAAAAGCAGGATAAAATTATACTGCATAATAATCATAATAAAAGGATAGTTAAAGACATTCATCACAGAGGAACACTCCTAATGTAAGAAACTTCACTTGCTTAAGGATACTGTCTTTGTCTACCTGACTCGACCTCAAGCTTTTCAGGACTTCAAGTACCAAACTCAGCATTTTAAGTTATGCTTAGAAGTTAACAGTAAAAGCATAAGAAAAGAAAAAAGGCCTAAGCTAACCAGGTCTAAGGAATATGGGATGATAACAGAATTCTGCAAAAGATAAACTCAATCTGTTTGAAATTCATCACAGGAAATAGTGGAGCGTGAAATATCATGAAGCTTGTTAATCTTGTGATACAATGCGCTCAACAATATTAGAACTCATTCTCATATGCAATGTTATATTTATATTCTGCTTGCCTCACTGAACAAAATGCATATTTATTTATGGTCTGTTTATCTCACTGTTTTCTAAGACATGTAATATATCACAGGAACTAGATGTGATGTCTTTTTTAATGTACTGATATTAAAGCAGTTTTAAAAAAACAGTAAAATCAACGCTCTGAAACTCTGGGCTCCTGCACGCCACCCTGCCAGGAAGTGAACTATTCAGCTCAGCATTAGTGGATGTTGCCAAAGCAGTAATAAAATACAGCTATAAAAACAGCATACTTTTAATTGGAAGGAGCTTGCATGCCAGTTTGTAAAGCTTCTCTCTCTTCTTTACTGCCATTTATGCCACTTGCTGTGGTCAACCATCTGCCAGTTCTCTTTTCCTTAAATGCTTACGATTCTCTTCCACATATACTCTGGTCTTCAAAGGGCATACTATGGTACACTGTTTACAAACTGCCAAACTTGCTTCTCAAAACAGAACAAAACCCTGTCCTACAGATTAAATTCTTCTGCTTTTAAAACGTGTAATTTCCATGTAATATTATCATTATAAACATGTAATATTGTCATTCTAACTGTATCTGAAGAATTGAGCAGTGACTCACAAAAGCTCATACCCTGCCACAAACTTTGTTAGTCTTTAGGGTGCTACTGGACTCTTGCTCTTTTTGACTGCGGTTGCCGCTATGTTGGTACGAGTTTCATTGTATGCATTCTTTTAAGCTATCCTCACAAAAGAATCATAAGACCGCTTGCCTTTCACACTGTGAACCTTAATGTGTGACACTCACCATGCCAGATAGCTTAGGATCACCTCCTGCCTGAGTGGAAAGTCATCATGTAAGTCAGCGATTGCTAATTACCACGGAACGGGAGTTAAGAAACCATCAATGCAAAAGATTTTTGAAAAGTCTTTTCCAGAGACTCTCTCCCACAAACTTTGTCTGCTAAGGAAACCCTGGAAACCTGCAGATGAACTGCTTTGTTTTGCAGAGAATTCTGGGGAATGTTAATATGGAGGGGGCAGGGCTGGAAGGAAGTGGCAACGGACTGTCTGCCTCTCTGGTTTCCGCAACTGCTAAGAGGCCAAACAGTTCTTTTTCCAAGAAGGGATTAGAAGGCAATAAGCACACAGGTGGTGAAGGACAACAATTTTATTGAAATCTATATAATGAGATATCAACAAGTCACAAGAATAAACAGAGAATAAAACAGGGCATCTACCCACGCCCCTTCTGTTACAAGAATCCAAAAGAATGACACCCAGTGGACTCCAGATGTTGGCTAGTGTGCTCACTGCTGCTCTGCAGTCCAGCCTGAGCCAAGGTTCCTGCAGCAGAAGGGGCTTCGGTATATTCACTGTTTTATTCTCTGTTTATTCTTGTGTTGATATCTCATTTTATTATAGAGATTTCAATGCAACTGTTGTCCTTTGCCACTGGTGTGCTTATTACCTTCAGATCCCTTAGTTTGTAAGCTGCTCTGAGACTCCTCTGGGTAGTGAAGGGCGGGATATAAATCCAATCTCCTCTTCTTCTCTTCTTCTTCTTAGTGGGAAAAGAACCATTTGGCCTTTTGGCAATACAGCCTCACATGGAGGGAAGGGAGTTGACAGGCACTATTTGCCCTTCTGCCTTGTGAGGAGGAGGACGAGGATAAGGAGATTGGGTTTATACCCTGCCTTTCACTTGGAGTCTCAGAGCAGCTTACAATCTCCTTCCCTTTCTCTCCCCACAACAGACACCCTGTGAGGATATAGGGGGGGCTGAGAGAACTCTGAGAGAACTGCTCTTGAGAGAACTGCTCTGAAAGAACTTGTGAATGACCCAAGGTCACCCAGCAGCTGCATGTGGAGAAGTGGGGAATCAAATCTGGTTCTCCCAGGTTAGAGTTCGCTGCTTTTAACCACTACACCAAACTGGCTCTCCAGATGTTCCTGTTTCCCTTTCCTTTTTCATCACCAGTCTTCCATCACACTTCTAGGAACCCCCGTTAGCCTTGCGATGAGGCTGTCCCTGGTTGCTCCCTTCTGTCTGCGTGCACCAATGGCACAGAGGTTTACCTCCCACAAGCCTCCCTCTCCCAACTTTCACACTAGGGAAGGACCTGCTCCCTAAAAAAATACACATTGCATTGGCGAGGTCACTGTCATCCCATATAGGGCACTACTCACGCAATGCACCACTCACGCAAAACACACATTGTACTGGCCAGGTCACTATCTTCCCATATAGGGTACCACTCACGCAATGCTCACTTGGGGCTGTGCTGCAAAAGAAGACAGTCACGGTGGACAAGCTTTCTTTAAGAAACTCTTGACACATTTGAGCGCCCAGCAGTATCACAACAGTCCTGCCTTGTGCAGTGAACTCTGTTAAATGATTCTGCAGAGGCTGGACGGGGAGCAGGGGAGCTCACCATGAGAATGCCAATCCAACTGGCAAGCCTACCACGTCGATCCATTCTTACAGGTGGCACTTTAAGACAAAGTTTCCAAAAAAAACCCTGTTGCCCTAAAGAAATAATGAAACTTACGGTTTAAAACTTGAATGTCCAAAATAGGTCTTTAGGCAGCTGATTTGCTTATTATTTGGTCCAGGTAAGGAGGAATCTTGGGGGGAAACAGGAAACAATATTTAGTGCCAGCAAAAGTTGAAAATAAGAGGGAAATTTTATTTTATTTTACAAAATTTATATCCCGCCCTTTTGCCCTTGCAAGGATCACCAAGGTGGCTAACAAATTAGAAGTGTGATGATTTGGGAGACTGGACTTTCCCTTTCAATATCTGACCTCCCATCTAAAAGCAGAGGGCATGATCCAAACAAAGGTTAAGTTTTTAAAGTCCCATTTCAAGCACATGCCTACTTCTTTCGCTAATGTCAATGAGATTTAAATATGCTCAAGTCTTGACTGGATCATACCCATAATTTGGTAAAGACACTAAAGCCAAGCTGAATGTCCATTTTTAGCTAGTGAGGAGTGCTTTTCGGAGACCTAAATATATCCCCCCTTTCCTCCTACTTGTTTATGGTCCTGGTAATGGCAACCATGTTTCTTATTGCTGCTCAGCACCAGCCTCCCTCCTAATTTTTGTGCATGGCACAACACCCAAGTAAGGGAAGGGACCTTCATTTTTACCCTGATTTGACCAGCAATGGTAATTCTGTCCCGCTCACAGGACATCCCTAAAGCATCTTCCAAGGGGAGGAGGGAAGAGAGGACAGCAAATTGGGTGACACAGCCCTGAAATAAACTACTTAACATAATCACCCTGACTCCATGGACTATAGGGTTTCACCTGCATACAAAGCAAGATCTCTGCAAAGATGAAGAGAAAGCAAGGATGTTCATATCTGGACACTCTGAAGGAGAGATTCTGAGTAGCCTTCTTTCCTGTCTCAATTTCCCATGACAAAAACATGAAAAAAGCTGGATCTGACGAATTTGTGGGGTACGTTTCCGGGGTGATGATAAATAGGCTGAGAGATAATCAACAACAGGTTCAGCAAATGCTTCCCTAGCTCACCCAAAAAGAGACCTCACCAGAATTTAAAAGGCCACACAGCCTGCCTTTGTGGTTTACCTGTAACTTTCACTAACACTGGCAGAAGCCGTTGACACTCCAAAAGCCAGTTTGGTCGAGACTTACTTTGGCCGCACCATCACAAACTGATAATCCCTAGATTTCTTCATCTCTGCATTTTGATAAATTAAATACAAAGGCCTCTTAGCATATGTGTCCATGTCTGTCGTGTCCAGAATCCAGTGAGCCCGAGGGGAATTTCTCCACCCTTTAAATGGCAGGTCACCCATTTCATATAACAAAATACTTTGGAAACACCACTCCATTTCAAAAGAGGTTTGACCTGTGGCATGGCTAGCTGCCATTTGAGAAGAAGACATGCCCAAAGTTGCTGTATGGTCACTTAGACATATTGTAGCAAACGTCTGTGTTGCCTTTCAGAACTTACCCCAGCTTTCCTCTTCCTCCTCAATGCCTTCATCTTCATCATCTGCAACAGCATCACTTGGTCTCCTTGTTTCAGCCAGCTGGGAGGCCGTACAATCTGCAGGGCGCTTATCTACACCTTCTAAAGACTGGGAGAGAGAAGGGATGAGTTAACGGAACTCAGATCAAAAGACTTAAATAAAAGATAAATAAATAAAATAAAATAAAAAACAAGAGAGGCCCAATATTATGCAGTCATAAAAGAGGATTGTTTCCTTAAGGTAGCCAAAGAACACTATACAAAACCACACAATACTTAGCATGAGAATTGTTCATGAGTCATCTACAGTACTGCTTTTTTTGTCCCCTGACCCCGGTCCTGTCCTTTTATAATGGCAGCAGAACATTCTCCTTCTATGCCAGGAAATGCTTCACCTGCTTAACAGCACCCAGGCACAAACAGGTAAAGCATTTGCGTCACAGATTTAGTGAAGAACAGTCTCATCGTCTTAATTTCTTTGTGTCTGGGTCCTGTTCAAGTCAGGAGGAGGAGGAGGAGGAGGAAGAGTTATACCCTGCCCTTCACTTGGAGTCTCAGAGCGTCTTACAATCTTCTTCCCTTCCTCTCCCCAGGGCTGAGAGAGCTCTGAGAGAACTGCTCTTGACAGAACAGCTCTGAGAGAAGTTGTGACTGACCCAAGGTCACTCAGCGGTCTTTATATGAAGGAGTACGGAATCAAACCCAGTTCTTCAGATTAGAGCCTGCCGCTCCTAACCACTACACCAAAATGGCAGCCAACTCTGTTACCCTGTTTTTACCACAATGTTTTCTAATTCTGTAATCCAGTCTTTACCGTGCATCTTACACTGCTTTTAGCACACTGTGTTTTTTTCCCTTTCATTTTATTAATACATTCACAATTCGTACATTCCATAATACACAATCACAGAGCAAATGAAACATCAGCAGAACATACCTTTATACAGTGAGGTAAGTGGTAAAATTAAGTTCAATACAGAGGGAAGGTACAGTTTAAAATATAAATCAACCATATATATCCATACAAAATAGGAGGAGGAGGAGAAGGGAGAGACACCGTTCATACATCCTTAAACTATCAAAAAACGTAGCCAAGGTTTAAAGACAGAGGAGGGGGGAATAACACAAGAAACCGGACCACCAGGTACCACCTGGAAACGAATGAGTTTTGGTAATCTTCACTTGATGAGTTAAATAACCCATCTGCTCTTTTCCCCATTACAAACTCCAACCGTATCTTGTCAAACCATCTATCTCGTGAAAGGCCTTGGGGCTCTTTCCATTTAGAAGCAATGACTAACCTCGCCAAGGCCAACAAGAGTGAGCTGATCTCTTTTTTTCTGTTTTGGGGGAGGAGTATCAGGCCAGATGTCCAGTAAAGGCAGTTTCATTAGCACATTGTTTTAAACTTGTGTAACCTGCCTCGGGTCTCAGTGAGAAAGGTGGAGTATAAATAAATATTCAGCAAAGTGACTTTTGAGACAGTTGCTTTACTGCCTCCAATTGAAACACCATTCTCTGTTTCAAAAAGCCTGTTCCTTTCCTGTCCAACACATCCTCTTTTAAACTTTCTCTCCCAAGAGGCTCTGTTCAAAATTCCTCCTGGGGAAGCAGCGTGACATAGAAGCGCAACTGGTCTCAACATATCCTTTCAGTTCCTTCAGGAATCTGGTCAATTCATGAGCTTAGTATAAACAACCACCATAAAAATTGTGAATTGTAATGTTCTGGCAACATTTAATACTGTCGATTTGTTGAATAAGACTGGTCAGCGGGTGGATGAAAGGCTTCTTGGAGCCCCACGCTTTGAAACTTGTGGAAAGTAAAATGCACATGAACAAAACATATAAATCAGAGAGGAAAGATGCAGCAGCTTTAATGCAACCTTTTTGTTAAATGGGATGAACAAAAATTAATGCTCCGTGAAATAAATTTGAAGTGCTGAACAGAAGCAGTGGATGGAACTAAATTCAGTCCATTCATCAATTTCTACCAGTGTCAAGGTTTATCTTAAGAGAAATGCAGAGAACAGGTAACGAAGCCACCAGGCAGAAAAACTCCCTGGCTATAATTAAACAAAAATAATTTCCTGCCAACTCCACTTTCAGAAATAGATCCCTGGCAAAAGAACCATGCCATTTCTGTTACTTTGTATTAATGGCAAGAGAAAGACTATAAAAATGAGAAGGGTTAACATTTCCCATCAGATTTCATCAGATCTCGGAAGCTAAGCCAGTTTGGCTCTGGCTAGCAGTTGGATGGGAAACCTCCAAGGAATATCAGAGTTGTGATGCGGAGGCAGGCAATAACAAATTACCCCTGAACATCTTGTGCCCTGAAAACCCTACAGCAGGGGTGTCAAACATATGGCCCGTGGGCCGGATCTGGCCCCTGCATTGCTGCTATCTGGTCCGCAAGCAACTGGTTCTCTGCTGCTTCCTGCTTCTTGTTCCTGTTCCCTGCACTGTAGCTCCTTTTGCCCAGTCTCTCCTATTTCCTGCTTCACAGAGGAGAGAAAGAACGCCAAGCCTCCCTTCCCTCGATTGGCTGAGGGCTCCTCCCCCTCCTCCTCTGGGGAGGGAGAGGGAGGGGGAGAGAGAGAGAGAAACGGAGCCCCACGGCACTTTTAAGAAGACCAACAATGTTTTATTCCAGGTATAAGCTTTTGTGTGCAAGCATACTTCTTCAGAGAGAGAAGGAAGGGGGGAGGGAAAGAGCCAGAGAAAGCACACCAGAAAGAGAGAGATATGGAGTCCCATGGCACTTAGATAGATCCCCCTTTCCAGTCCTAACAGATGGAGGGGGAAGAAACCTAATAGCACAGCTTGCATTCTTTATTAGTGGAAGGGAGCTAGAGTTTAGTAGCACCTTAACGACTAACAATATTTGTGGCAGGACATAAGCTTTCATAAGTCACTGCTCACTTCTTCAGATACAGCTAGAATGTGAGTCCATCTATCCTTATATCTTGGAGAGTGAAGTGATTTCAGACCCCAAATGACAATATGTGGTTTCTAATAACAGTAGAAAGAATAAGAGTACAGTAGCACCTTTAAAGACTAACAAAATTTGTGGTAGGGTATGTGCTTTCGTGAGTCACTGCTCACTTCTTCAGACTTATTTCCATTTATTCTTTGCATCCTCCTGGACCAAACTGAGACCTAGGTTTTCTGTCTCATTACCAATGCTGATATCTCCACACCTACTACCCCTCAGCACATCACACCTAATCCTATCTCGCCTGCTATTGTCATTTGGCATCTGAAATCATCTTTATAAAGTTTATACCTCCGGTACCTCATGTTACATTTATGGCTGGCCTGACAAAGTGACATTTATGTCATATCCAGCCCTCGTAACAAATGAGTTCAACACCTCTGCCCTACAGGGTTGCCATAAATCAGCTGTGACTTGATAGCACTTTCCACCACCAACATTTCCCCAAAAATCTCTTCTATGTTTTGATTGCATGCATGGGAGCAGGGCTGAAAGAAACAGCTCATTCAGTATATACAGTGTACATACTGGCGTCCGGTAAAAATAACAGAAGCATGCAACAGCGCACACGACCCATGAATGTATCCCTGAGGGGCAGCTACAACAGATGAGAAAAGGGTCCCAAGTAAGCTCTAAAACTATCCTTGGGGGAAGAAACGTAGGGTTGGCTCATGCCCTCACCTTCCAGAAAATAATCTTGCTGCTACAGAGATAAACATTAGTAAAGGAGCAGCTATAGCAAGGCCATGGCCTGCTTGATTTTATGGCTCACCCTATAGTGAAGGTTCAGGAGAGAAACATTTGGATGATACCAGGAGGAACAGTGTTGGGATCGGATCGTAACAACTGAATGGGTCGTGACTGTCCAGTGTGATTCACATACAGTTTAGAAAGAAATCTGACTTTTAATCTCCATTGAAATATTGGCTACTTATGTGAGAGACAACTGGATACCATTCTGTGACTGGGTGGAAAGAAACTTTGAAGACCAGGAGTAATGAATACAACTATTATAGACTTGGAGAAACTCTAACTTAAACTGTAAAGAATCTGACTTTTTTCAGGAATCACAATAGAAGGTTTTAGCGATTTGATTAAGTGTTACTAGTTTTAGTAATTATATAAACGAAAGAGATCTGGAAACAAAGAATTTGTAACAGCTTTTAGATAAACATGATGGAATTTCCCGTGATGTCTTATCCCATCCCCTTATCCTATACTTGTTCTATAAAGTATTAAAACCAAATAAAAATTGATTTAAAAAAAATACTGGCTACTTCTCCTTCACAAATGAGAGCAATATTTTCATAACAGATAAGCCAATCAAAAATATCCTAAGACACACATCTTGCCCCCGCCATGAGGGGCATTATTTACAGACCCAAGACACTACATCTCTGGAACCGCACCTTATTAGTTGGATTTACCTTATTTTCGGGACAAATTAGACTTGAGCAGAGAGACAGATACACGCAGTGGCCATATGTTAGCTTGTCAGTTGGCACCATACGCTACAACACAACTTGTCTGCAAGCTGCCAAGAAGTTTCAGCAAAACAGAGTTGCATTCCAAAGCCGCTGTTAATGTTATTAATTAGTATATATGTCATCCTTAATATATTCTTTCTGGAAGAGAGCACAGGGCAGCAAACATAGTGTTCCCAAGAGGTCTCCCATTCAGACACGACCAGTGTTCCCTCTAAGCTGAGTTACTGTAACCTAGCTCACAGTTTTTTAGCCTCTGACTCACACATTTTGTGTCTTAGCTCAGGAAGGATGGCTCCAGAGCAAACTAATTGATGCAGCAGCCAAATTGCTTGCTCACAACTTTAATACCAGTAGCTCACAGAGTAGCATTTTTGCTCACAAGACTCCACAGCTTAGAGGGAGCATTGGACACGACTAGACCCAGTCCTCCTTAGATGCAGCAAAGATGTTACTCCATGTGCCTTCAAGACCATGCCCTGGGCCAAACCTTTTCCTGGTTCTCATCATGCAACAAATGGGCAATCAGGGCCCTACACCAGGGGTCCCCGACATGGCGCTCCTGGCGGCCATGGCGACCCCTGTCACCTTTCCTGATGCCTGCCAAACATCTCCAGAAAGTGGGTTGGGCCAGGTGTGGCATTTGCCCAACAGGGCTTCTGGCTGGCTGTGCCTATTTGTGGAAGGTGGCTTCGACAGCAGCTGCCACCACAGCACAAGGATCTTCGCTGCGTGACTAGAGGTAAGCTCTACGTATGCAAGAAAATATTTTTAAACAACATGTTAATTCGAAAAGGCATCCTGTTCAACAGAGCTGCTGCCTAAGATTTTGAAGAGCTGCTATGCATGCCCTCACTCCCCAACGTTTCATGGCTGGCTCCGCCTCCCGCAGCAGCCATTTTGTAGCTGCGCCCCACCACCCTGTGTCAGAACTCCAAAGGTGCCTGCGGGCTCAAAAAAGGCCAAGGGACCCCTGCCCCAAACAATAAAAGTGCTTCATACTTTAACAAAGACCGTGTGCATTAGGGACCTAAACCTGAAAGCCTCATCATCTTCCCATAATATTTGTATTTAGACTTTTAACTAGCTGAAAACCCTTTTCATGAAGACTGATTTGTACACTGAGTACAAGCAGAAGCTAAGTGAAGATGATGAGAGCATATGGATTTTCAGGGCTATTTTTGGCCAGGAACACACAGGAACGGAGTTTCGGCTGGCTTCAGAGTTGGCCACGCCCGCTACAGCCAAAACCTCTGCGTGTGTGGCTACAGAGGGAAGGCCTGGAGAGTGGACCCCCCCCCCGCGACTCTGAGGTGGGCGGGTCAGGGGGCCTCCTGGAAGGATCAGGGAGGCATTTAAACGCCTCCCCATGCCTTCCCCGGCCTGTCCAAGGGCCAGTTTGCCCAGGCAAGCCAAGGGAAGGTGTGGGGTGTGGCCTAATATACTAATGAGATGCACTGTCGGGGTGTGGCCTAATATGCTAATGAGTTTCTGCTGTTGGGTGTGGTTTAAATGCAATGATGCCCTTGTGACCAGAGTATTAAAAAATGGCAACGTGCCCATTAAATTCAGCGGCAGACTGACGAGGACAGAGAGCTCCTTATACCAAGCCAGACCAGTTTGTTTGCTTACCCATTGATAAGAATGATGGATTTATAATACTGATCAGTGTTGTTTTTCTGCACTCAGCTTAAGATATCATTCCCAATCAAACACAGGTGGGAAACAGTGTGTGTGTTTGTGTGTGCGTGTGTTTTGCCATCAAGTCACACCTCACAGCTAACTTATAAGGCCCCCATGGGGTTTTCAAGGGGAAAAAAATTCAGACGTGGTTTGCCACTGCCTGCCTCCTCGTCACAACCCTGGTATTCCTTGGTGGTCTCCCGTCCAAATACCAGCCAGGGCTGACCCTGCTTAGCTTCTGAGATCTGACACAGTTGAGCTAGCCTGGGAAATGGCATGCCTACCAGAGAACACATGGCCTTCTGCTGGACACAGAATATGGCTTCAGGCAAGTGGAACAGCATATCCTTCTCTGCATTCTATCCAGAATACAGGCAGGCTAGCAGAATACCAATTGCCGCACGCACACACATGGTTGGATCTTGCTTAGAAATCTTTGCGTTTAACAGTTCAGGCGAAGGCACTATTTAGACTAAAGAAAAGGGATGGAGAGAAGTAATATATTCCATGGGAAGCAAAGGAGCACAGCTCCATTAGACAACGAACTTGAGGGCTGATGTAAGGGACTCCATGCATGGGTAGACGACATAAAGGGTTAGATCCAGCACAGCATTTCTGCAGTCATAGGCCTGCAGAGTGTGACTTTCTCGGCTCCCCTCCCCACATCCTGCGGCAGCCCCAAATGCCCTGGAACTCCATCTCCTGACCCAACCCAAAGTTATCCCCTCCTACCAATGAATACGGTTGCCCTTAGGCCGGAATAAAAATGTCCCGTCCCTTGAGTAGAGATTTTATGTACAGGGGTGCCACTCTTCATGAGACACCTGGAGATCTCCTGCTATTACAATTGATCTCCAGATGACCAGATGACCAAGAACAGGATCTCCAGATGACCAAGAACAGGTTCCCCTGGAGAAAATGGCTGCTATGGAGGATGGACTCTGCCATTATACCCCCCCCCCTCCCCAGGCTCCACCCCCCAAATCTCCAGGTATTTCTCAGCCCAGAGCTGAAAGTGGGCAGGGGAAGCATTTCAAGGCATGAAGGCAAATAACAACCCACTGAGCCTCTATTAAAGGGGAAGTACATTTTTTCTACAGACTTGTTGACAACCCTGCTCATTGCACCGTACGTTATTTCAAACATTCAAAACATACTTCTGCAGAAAATAAGTACACTTTGAAAACCTACTTTAACCATCTCCATCTCCAATTCGTCATCACTTTCAATGGTGAAAGAAGAATTCTCTTCCTCCTCTATGACGCTTAAATCCTGAAAAGAAAATTTCCCAATGAGCCAGCTTCACTAGCTTTCCCATGGTCTCTCGTAAAAAAGGAAGGATTACATACCCCATTTCTGACATTTGACAAGCCTTTATTGGCATACGTATACACATACAATAGGAGATCAGATTAAATATAGATCGGAAAATACAAATCCACATAAGGTAAAATTGGAGCTACGGCGCAGAAAAACAGCATGAAAGCAGAAAAACCTAATGGTTACTTATCAGAACGTATAGCTATAGCACTAAGAAGAAACCTTGCTACTATTTCGTTTATTTCCGTATCTTGATCATCAAGCAAAAACAGAACCTTAAAATCGTCAGGAATCTCTGAGAATTGAGCACATACCCGCTCCCCCAAAGACCTCTGGTAAAAGGATGAAGGTTACCCTCCTGCTGTAGGGATTTTCTGTACAGCACCCAATATTGGAGGCAACCCCGTCCAGCTTTCTTTTCTAGGTATTGAAGAAGAAAGAAGACACAAGAAGAATATAATAGAATATGATATAGAGGAAGTTGCATTGTGGTATTATAAGCGTGTAATATAAGGAAATAAGAAAACGAAGAGGTGATAAACAAGATTGGGATTAAGATATAAACAGACAATATGTCACCTCAATGCGTTTTTGTTTTGTTTCAAAAGGAGTATAATATATTAGGAAAGAAATATCTGTATGAAATTGTAATATATACTCAATAAAAAAAATTTTAAATACTTGACTAGCCAGGTTTCACGATTGTGACTTTAATATCTCTCCCACACAACAAAGAGATGGGGGGCGTGCAAGCTAAACTAAACCACACAATTTGAACTTAAACTGCAGTGGTACTTAAAAAAACAAACTCGGAAAGTTACAGTCTCAAGAATGTAAACAGTATTTGAACATGTTTGGTTTTAGCGGACAGTGACCTTCAACAAAAGCTGTAGAAGTGTATCAAAGGGCACAGTACAAGAACCAAAGATGTGTATTAATGTTAGTGACTGAAGGGTGAAGCTGTCAGAAACGCATATACCCCTGGGCTGGCAACTAACTTTTAATAGAGGGCCATATTTTGAACTGAGTAGGGATGAAGGATCAATGTATTTATTTATTTACTTTACCCTGCATTTCTCCCCAAATGGGGAGCCAAAGCAACTTACATTGTTCCCCTCTCCTCTTGTCTGTTTTATCCTCACAACTACCCTATGAGGTAGGTTTCGCTGAGAGAGTGTGACTGACCCAAGATCACCCAGCCAACTTCCATGGCAAGAGCTGCAATTCAAACGTGGGTCTTCAAGGACCTAGTCTGACATTCCAACTACTACACCACACCTCTCTCTTCACCCTCCCTGCCCCATTCACTTCTGTGGACACTGAGAACACAGTTCTTCAAATCTCTCCTTGGCAAGGTCAACAGCCAGTGAAGCCTTAGCTCTATGCTCAAATTTCATAGCATATGGCTGAGGTGAATAATAAGACAAAGTTCTAGTAAAGCCTTGTTGAGTCGACGTGGTGTAGTGCTTAAGAGCGACTCTAATCTGGAGAACCGGGTTTGATTCCCCACTCCTCCACATGAAGCCTGCTGGGTGACCTTGGGCCAGTCACAGTTCTCTTCAGACTCTCTCAGCCTCATCTACCTCACAAGGTGCCTGCTGCGGGGAGAGGAAGGGAGGATGTGCACAGGGTTAACAAGTCTAGTATCTCACCTCAGAGGAAAGCGACTGAGGAGCGCAGTGTGTGCGTATGTGGGGGCGGCGGGGTGACCTGTGTTGGAAACCTGACAGGAAGCCACCGTAACCTAGGTTACTTCCACATGGACCTTCCCCCTCCCCCCACTTCCAAACAGGAGTGCTTTTATTGGGGAGCATCCACACAGTGTCATCCCCTTTCTCTGTCCTCTGTGCGCTGTATCTCACCTGGTTTACTACTGAAAGAACACCGTCCAAGTATGCTAGCAGGCTGTCTGGATGGAAAGGCACACCGCAGAACACGAAGGTCCTGCCCACATCAGCACCATTATGCTTCCAGCAGCCCTTCACAGCCACCGTTTTCAGGCCTTTTTTAAAACATCAGTAATTTCTACAGCACTGTAATCAATGTTCCCTCTAAGCTGCGGGGCCTTGTGAGCAAAAACTCTATCTTGTGAGGTCCTGGCATTGAAGTTGTGAGCGAGCGATTTGGCAACTGCGTAAATTAGTTTGCTCTGGAGCCATCCCTTCCTGAGCCGAGACAAAAATGTGTGAGCCCCGGAGGCTAAAAAACTGTGAGCTGGCTCACACTAACTCAGCTTAGAGGGAACACTGACTGTAATGCTATAGCAATTAATGATTTTTTTCTAAGCCCTCATAAAGCTATTGGGGGGGGGAGATGCAATGAAACTGGCAGCTGGTGGAGGAAAGTGCACAGGAAAACTTCCGTGAGGATGCTCCGTTGCCAACGTGAATGTGAACATCTACGCCACTGCAATTTAAAAAATTTATTTTACTATGTTCACAGCACACCTTTGTCACTGAGACTCAAGGCGGATTACACAGTCAGTGCAATTGACAGGATGAGATATGTAGTAAGCAATGTACTAGGATGAATCCCTGAACTGGGCTTTCAGTTGCCTATCCTTAGTATATATAGCCGAAGAAATAGATTGGGTGTGCAAGGTTCATTTCTGGGAAGTAAAGAGCACCGAGGAAAACAACAGGGCATCCATTACCTTGCGTGGTAGAAAGCACCATCAAGTCACAGCGACCCCATATGGTATTCAAGGCAAGAGGCGTTCAGAGGGGGTTCTGCCACTGCCGGCCTCTGCGTCACGACCCTGGTATTCCTTGGAGGTCTCCCATCCAAGTACTAACCGGGACTGACCCTGCTTAGCTCCCAAGATCTGGTGAGATCAGGCTAGAATGGGTCATCCAGCTGAGAATTATTTCTAGAACCAGTTTCAGCCCAATTCTGTGCTCCTTCAACTCCACGGAAAACTGAACATAGGATCACGGACGCCAGGGAGCACCCGCGTTCTCCCCTCCAGTGCTGGGAGCTGGCTCAAAACCTCGAAAGAGCGTGGCCATAATTATTTATCATTCATTTATTTATTTCGATTTCTTGACCGCCCTTCCCGACTTTTGTGGGCTTAGAACAAGATGGCATATTTAGCATTCAGTTTTGGGGGAGCAAGGGGAGGGGGTGCCGGGCAGATGTAAGGAACTGTCGCTGGCCTCGACCAATGGCCTGGCGGAACATCGCTGCCTTACATGCCCTGCGGAACTTGAATAGGTCAGACAGGGCACGGATGTCATTTGGCAGATGTCATCATAACTACTGCAGCAGCTCTTAGAAAGGGCACCGTAGCAGCGTCACTAGAGTGGCACTGGCAGGCAGGCAGGCAGGCAGGCGCATGCAAGTCCTGCCTACCTCACTCATGATCAGTGTTCCCTCTAAGCTGAGTTAGTGTGAGCTAGCTCACAGTTTTTTTAGCCTCCAGCTCACACATTTTTGTCTTAGCTCAGGAAGGATGGCTCCAGAGCATACTTATAAAGTAGCTCATAAAGTAGAATTTTTGTTCACAAGACTCCACAGCTTAGAGGGAACATTGCTCATGATGCTGCTTTAGATGTGCTGCAGAAGCTCAGACTGAGATCCAGCTGTTGGCAGATCAAAAAATACTGTTTCCCCAACAAAGTTAATTATCGATGTAGAACTTTACCTCCGACATACAAGTTGTTTCATTCAGCAGCTCTTCCTGGGCCAGACGCTCCAACATCTGAAGTTCGCACTCAGTGATGTCCAGCGACATCAAGCAGTCTCTTTCTGCAGCTACTTGAGGGCCTCCGCTTGAAGCGCGATCTATTTGTTTCTCCATGTTAAGTTCTCCTTCTGCCACGGTTCCTTTTTGGACACCCGATAATTTATGATCTATGGAGTCACTGAAATCACCTACGGTCTTGGAATCCAATCCAGCTCTTTCTGTTTTTATTTCTTCACTACCTTCAGTTCCTGATTCTGCAACATTTCTCAGTGCTGTCTGGCAACTGGACTCAACAACCAACACTCTTCTCAAGGTCTCGATGTTTTCTGAAATACTGGTTAATATTTCTGCCGCTCTGGGGAAGAAGTATCAAAACAGAAGAAAGTTCAAAACACGCTTGATGGGTCTAGGTAAAGGTAAAGGTTCCCTTGCTCGAAAGCCAGTCGAGTCCGACTCTAGGGTTGTGGTGCTCATCTCCGTTTCAAAGCCGAAGAGAGCCAGCGCTGTCCGAAGACGTTTCCGCGGTCATGTGGCCAGCATGACTAAACGCCAAGGCGCACGGAACGCTGTTCCCTTCCCACCGAAGTGGTCCCTATTTATCTACTTGCAATTCCTTGCTTTCGAACTGCTAGGTTGGCAGGAGCTGGAACTAGAGACGGGAGCTCACTCCATCATGCGGCACACTCGGGTCTCGAACTACTGAACTACCGACCTTCCACAGCCTGCAGTTCAGCGTCTTAACCACTTGAGCCACCGCAGCTCCTTGATGGGTCTAACTGCTAACTAATATTAGTGGCGGAAAGTGCCACCAAGTTGCAGCTGACTTATGGCAACCTCTTGGGGTTCTGAAAGGAAGACATGAACAGAGGTGGTTTTCCTATTGCCTGCCTCTGCACAACAACCCTGGACTTCCTTGGTGGTCCCCCTTCCAAATACTAACCAGGGCCAACCCTGCTTAGCTTCCCAAGTTCTGATGAGATCCAGCTAGCCTGAGCCATTCAGGTTAGAGCTACTTTATATCACAAAGACTGAAAATGTGATTCTGCATTTCAAATTATTCTAGGAACAACAGAAAATAAATGACGGACCATCTTCTGGCCAAGATCCAAAGAGCCATGCATACATAATTCACACATGCATAACATACACCAAGATTTCCATTTCCAACTCTGGTTCTTGGCACTGCCTCAGAGATAGATCAAAGTCTCCTGACTTCCTGGAGGGACTTTTCACAGACTGCAGAAAGAATGAAGGTCTATGAAACCTTAGTGCAGGCGAGAAAGACCTGCACCTGGCTCACCTGATCCCATCTAGAGGAATTATAGGGTTCCATAAAGATATAGATGTTACAGATCCATTCTGCTAATGGCAATACCACCCTATGGCATGAGCAGAAAACCCTCTTGAATTGGCAGAAGGCTCCTGGCGCTGAAGGAAGTGGCTGCCATTATCAGGATTAATCGGTAGGATCCAGACCAGTGCATTGAATTAAACATCTAGTAGATATTAGACAGCAATAAAAGGAACACAGAGCTTTGACTTGCATTTAATTAAAAGGAAATCAAAAACCAAGCGACAGATAACCTTTGCACATTTATGGGTTGTTCAAAAGAGTTCGGAAGGTGATGAGCCAAATCCATAATCTCTTCTGATAAAGAGGTTAATTCCTTCTTTATGTCATTCTGTACAAGTACACCATCTGTAAAAAATAAAATAAAATAAAAAAATCAAGGTAAGTGAAGGATTTTATTTCTTCTTTTTTTTAACATATCACAGCACTCGGTCCTAGAATCCAGGCAGTGAAACATGAGAAAACTCATGATTTCAATAGTTATTAACTTAGTGTGCTTCCTTTTCGGCTTGCTTACACGATTAGGGATGTTTAGACAGTGGTCAACTAGAATCTAGATTCGCAAAGGATAGGCATATGGGCTTTTATGATAAACAGATGGAACTAGATAAAATCTGAATTAATACAGAAGTCAAACTCATTCAAAAACTGTACAGGTTTCTATTGGATTTCAAGATGTACAATGAGCAAGTTAAGGTTCCTATGACTATCTGGGCCAAGAATTTAGGTTATAATATTGAATTAGATGCGTGGCCCAAAGTCTGGCAAACTAATATGAAATATACTAAAGCTGTTTTTCTTAAAGAAAATTTATATAAAATGTTTTACAGGTGGCATTTGCCACCTGATCGACTGACCAAATTTTATCCCAGTATGTCTAACAAATATTGGAAATGCAAATGTAAAGTTGGCTCCTTCTACGGTATCACTTATAGTGGACTTGTGACAAGACACAAAAAAAATTCTGGGTGGAGGTACACGGGTTGTTAACACAAATATTAGGGGTCTATGTGCCCTTTAAACTTGAAATCTTCTTGTTAAATGTAATTCCTAAACAATATCAGAAATTAGATTCATATTTGATTGCCCATATTGTAACCACTTCTAGAATTGTATTTGCCAGTAAGTGGAAAAATGAAGAACTACCTCAAAACAGGATGTAATTTGTAAACTACTGGATATAGCTAAAATGGACAATTTAACTATGCGACTTCAAGGAAGAGAAGAAAATCCCTTTCAAGACTTGTGGTCAAGATTTTATGAGTGGATGAAGAAAAATATTTAATTTATGAAATATGACTTTATAAAATATACTCAAATTAGAGAGCAATTGCAATACTATTTATGTCTATGTGTTTGTTGTTGTTGTTGTTGGTTGATATATTCAGTGTGTGCCAGAAAGTCAATAAAATATTAAATAAAGAAAGGATGTTTAGACAGTGGTCATTAAGTTGATTTATACCCTTCTTAGGCTTTTCCAGAGGCAGGATATTGTAACACGTTTTATACACATCTCGTGCTTGTTATCTTCAGCCATTTGTAGATCACTATATCCTTACTATGAACTGCAAACATCACCACCATGCAATAGTTACCATTTCTATTAATAGTTATAATAATAAGCATGTTACTGCTGTGCAGAGACAACTCTACATGGAGCTACCTTGGAAGAGTGATCAAAACTAAAGGATGTCTAAAGACACTGTACAACACCTATCCAGAAAGGTCTGTGTAAATATCCAGGGCTCAATTCAGAGTGATGGTGTTGACCCGGCCTGGATACACGGTAACTCCTGAATGCATCCCATTGTGATCTAAGATCCCCAAAACAAGGCCTTGCTTTCTCAGGAAAAAAAGTTGGTGATCTTCTCTATAATGGTACCCTGTCAAAGGAAAGCTGGATCCTTCCTGATGCTTAGAAGACCAGATCCAAAGTATCTGAAAGAGCCCTGAACTCCATGGATCCGCGCTCAAGGTCACTATGGATTGGCCTGTATTTTCACAAGATATTAGCTTCCAGGGTTACAGAAACAATACAAATACCTCAAACTGGAGAGCCAATTTGGTGTAGTGGTTAGGAGTGTGGACTCTAATCTGGGAGAACCGGGTTTAACTCCCCACTCCTCCACATGCAGCTGCTGGTATGATCTTGGGTCAGTCATAAGTTCTTTCAGAGGTGTTTTCTCATGAGCAGTTCTGGAAAGAGCCCTCTCAGCCCCACTTACCTCACAGGCAATGCTCCCTCTAAGCTGTGGAGTCTTGTGAGCAAAAATTCTACTTGATGTGCTACTGGCATTAAAGTTGTGAGCAAGCGATTTGGCTACTGCATTCATTAGTTTGCTCTGGAGCCTTCCTTCCTGAGCTAAGATAAAAATGTGTGAGCCGGAGGCTAAAAAACTGTGAGGTAGCTCACATTAACTCGGCTTAGAGGGAATACAGCTCACAGGGTATCTGTTGCGGGAAGGGGAAAGGAAGGGGAAAAAGATTGTAAGCCGTTCTGAGACTCCTTTGGGTAGTGAAGGGCAGGGTATAAATCCAATCTCTTCTTCTCTTATAAAACATTTACCAACAAAACACCGGTGTAGGAGAAACACAGCGGCTTGAGTTCTACCACTCTGCTCAGCAAAGCCTTCTCCTCCAGTCTAAGGAGTCTTTCTCCATCATCCACCAGCCTCTTCAGTTAGAGGAAGGCTTCAAACGCTGCTGAGCAGAGTGGTGGAAAATGGAAAGAAAGGCTAGCAGTCTATTCCGTATGAATACCTCTTTAGAGGGGCCTGACCTGGATAGGCCAGGCCATTTATTTATTTATTTATTTTTTATGTTGTTCAATTTATATCCCGCCCGCCCTGCGAGCAGGCTCAGGGCGGCTAACACCAAAGAAGTTACAAAGCCATTAAAACCAATTATAACAGTACAATAAATTATTTAAAACATTAGAAGATGCAAACCAACACATTCATTCATACAGTTCCAGCAATGCTAACTGGATGACAGCACAAAGATGGAATGGGCAGATATAATAGGGCAGTCTCGTCAAATCTCAGAAGCTAAGCAGGGTTGGTCTTGGCTAGTATTTGGATGGGCAACCTCCAAGGAATACCAGGGGCGTGATGCAGAGCTAGGCAATGGCAAACCACCTCTGAAAAGCTTCTTGCCTTTAAAAAAAAACAAGTCTAGCTCCCCTCCTAGTGGTGCATTACACTAAAAAAGAGCTAGAACTTCTCACTGTCAGACAATCTTAGGATCTCCTAGCTTTCTACACACCCTGCCATATGATAATTATAATTATTACCTCTTTAGAGGCATACAAGGCACAGCTAAGTCCACTGGACATCCAGTTCTTTATTCAACTCTATGCCTATGCCCACTGCATTACCAAATTACACCAAAAAACCCCACAGTTCTTAAAACTGTGCATTATCCAAGGTTGACCTATCATGATGCCCACTACACTTTGAGGGAAAAGAGCCCACAGAAAGACCACACAAGATGGTGATAGAAGCAGAATAAATATTTATACTTTCCACTGTACAAACGGCTCACCTTCTTCAGCACCAAGCCGTATCTGCTTAAGACTTTTCATATTTGCCATCTTTTGAAAGATGAGGAAGCCAGCCTATGACAATACAAAGAAAACAAATCTTCATTCCGTGGAAGTTAATTAGCATCACAAGTTTACATAAATAGGGGCCTATAACAATAGAAGAGTGAAGAAAACAGAACTATGGAATTAATTATGGTCAGAAGCTTTTTTTCCCTTGGGACAGCATTAACTTTTTGCACATCCCCCATGAAGCAGTGTCCCCTACAGAGAAATCGTGTCTCTATAGCTTACTGTGCATGGTGACTGTATGAATAAAGACCTACTGTGGCCATAGAATCTTGGGGACCCGATCAGCAACTAGCTGGTAATGGGGGCCATATCTTAAACGCAGCAAGGGGAATGAAGGACCTGCAGAGGTGATTCCAGCCACTGACTCATTCTCACACAAGTGGATACACAGGGGAAAGACCCTCTAAATCCCACCTCCCTCAGTGCCGCTTTGGCAGAGCCTTCCTGCAACAATAATAATACGTGAACTATAAGGCACATCATCTATTAATCAGTTGGTATATCGCATCAATGGATATAAAACTGTTTCCAATAGCAACTGTATACACACAACAATCAGTAACAAATAACTAGTTTAACAATAATCTGACCCTTCCAAAATGGTTAAGTTTTGACGATACACAATGTAGATTAAAATAAAGCTATTATGTCTTTGTATCTTTCAGGAACATTCAAAGAGGAGTTGCCTTTGTTTGCTAAGGCACTTTCAATAAAGTCTATCCATTTCGAATAAAATAATGTTTGCTTATTGTAGCTCGTGTTAGTTGATACAGATAATGAGATTTTTTCTAGGGTATAGTATTCCCAAACTATGTTGTACCATTGATTTAAAGTTAGCGCGTTTGTACCTTTCCAATTATGTGTTATAACTGATTTTGCTGCCATTAGAAGTGTAGAAAGAAAATCTTTGGTTTTATTGGGAATCGTTATTCCTTTCCAGTTATCTAATAGCATGACTTCGGGTGAAAAAGGTAAGTCGATGTTCGTTATGTCTTTAATTGCCTGTTTTATATTCAACCAAAAGGTTCTGACCGTTTTGCAGGTCCACCAACAGTGCATGTAATTGGCATTTTCCTCACAGCCTCGCCAGCATAGGGGTGAGTATTCTATGTTGATTCGATTCAGTTTTACTGGGGTGTAATACCACCGAAGCATCAGTTTCAGCGCTTGGTTTTTGATATTTAAAGAATTTGAGGTCAGGCTCGGAGAGGTCCAGATGTGGTTCCAGGTTTCGTCTGTTAATGGGACTCCACAGTCTGCATTCCAGGCTAGTTGGTATGATGTGAATGGTTCCAACGAGTTTTGCAATAATTGTGTATAACATAAAGATATCAGGCCTTTGTGTTGTATTTTCCCTGAATACAAAAGTTTTTCAAAGAAAGTTAGGGACCTACACTTAGTGTCTTTAGTGAATATTGTGTGCCATAAATGTTTAACTTGCTGGTATTCAAGCCATGGAATATTGCAGTGATATTTCCTTTCTAGGATGTCTTTTTCTAGTAAGATATTGTTACAACTAATATCTTTAAAGCAAGTTAATTTATTCTTTTTCCACGTAGGCATTGCGTGTGCCGATAGGCCTGGTTCAAACCAGGATTGTCTTATAAAACAGGTGAGTGGTGAAGGTGAGGGAGCAATTAGCGGCCTGAGCTCATCCCATATGGTTAGGGTATTTATAAGGAATGGGTTATTTTCTATATCAGGGGATCTTATGGGTTTCTTTTCCCATAATGTTTCCTGGAAGGTATTGTTTTCGAGATATGCCTGTTCAATATACTTCCAGTCTGCCTCGTAGTGTTCATTATAGTGTTTCACTAACCCCATTAGAGTTGCGCTTTTATAATAAAGATTCAGGTCTGGGAGGGATAGTCCTCCTTTATTTGGAGGTCTTCTTAAGGTTACATAGCTCACCCTATGGGCAGATTTGTTCCATATATATTTGGTGAATTCCCTTTGCCAGTGTTTTAGTTTCATGATCGGGATTGGTATGGGGATGGTTCTAAAAAGATAAAGGAACTTTGGAAATATAAAAGTTTTCAAAATTTGCACCTTCTCAATCCAAGAAAGCAGTGGCGTGGATGGGAGTGTATACAGCTTTTCTAAATTCCTGGCCACTTCGTCATGGTTTAGTTTGATTAGGTCAGCCAGATTGTGTGGAATTTTGATCCCAAGATATTTCCATTCTTTATTTGCCCATGTGAAATTATAGTTGTTTGATATATAATTTTTATCATTCTCAGATAAAAATATTGAATATACACTAGATTTAGAGTTATTAACCTTCAGTCCAGAAATGGCGCTAAAGTGAGAAAGAATAGTTTGGACTTCCGGAAGGGATAGTTGGGGGTTAGTTAGATACAACGTTAGGTCATCAGCAAATAAACTTAATTTTATTTGGCGGTCTTTAATTTTGATACCTGAGATTGAAGAGCAGTTCCTAATAGCATTGGCCAATGGTTCCACGGCAATCGCAAATAATAAGGGAGAGATTGGGCATCCCTGCCGTGTCCCCACGTGACAACGTAAATTGTTCCGAATGTATATTATTTGTAAAAATGGTTGCTTTGGGGGAATCATAAATTGAGTTTAGTAAATTAAGAAATTTAGTGCCGAAATTCATAGAGGTCAGTATTTGTTTTAAATAAAGAGTCTCAACGCTATCAAATGCTTTCTCGAAGTCGATTGAAAAAATAAATGAGGAATTAACATTATTCTGTCGACAATATTGGATTATATTAAGAGCTTTTCTCGTGTTGTCTGTTATTTCTCTGGTAGGGATAAATCCCGTCTGATCCGGGTTTATATAGGAAGCTATGATTTTGTCCAATCTCCTTGCCATTGTGGCCGTAAAAATTTTATAATCTTGAAATTGGCCTATAAGAGCCCATATTAGTACTGTCTTTATCAGGTTTAAGGATTAAAACAATTTTAGCATCTTGCCAAGTAGGGGGCATGATTCCGTCCTCTAATACTTTATTACAGATTTGAGTTAGGGGATTTGTTAAGAGAGATGAAAACTTCTTGTAGAATTCAGCGCTAAATCCGTCTGTACCAGGTGATTTATCATTTTTCAATGATTTTATAGTATTTAAGATTTCAGTGGTTGTTATTGGTTCCTCTAACCAATGTTTATGTTCTTCAGAGAGAGGTTTCTGAATGGGGTATGAGTGTAAAAAGTCAGTTATTATATCTTGCGAGGGATTGGTCGATGTATATAGCGACTTATAGAACTTTAAAAAGGCTTCTGAGATTTCAATGGGGGTGTGGACTAGGGTTCCAGATTTGTTCCTGATAGCATGTATTGAATTATCATGTATTCTTTTTTTAAATCTCCAAGCAAGTAATCGTAGTGATTGAGGCGTTTTATACCAATACCTCTGCTTAGTATATGCTATTTTCTTTTGTATTGATGAGACTTCCATGGTTTCTAATTTTTTTCTTTCTAAGAGGAGTAGTTTATAAATGCGTTTGCTTCCATGTTTTTGGTATTCTTTTTCAAGATGTGTGATTTTGCTTATTAACTCTTGTTGTAATTTTGTTTTTTCTTTTTTGTAGGTTGAAGCGATGGCTATTAGTTTCCCTCTCAAGACCGCTTTCAAGGTGTCCCATACAATATGAGATGGCACTCCACAAGTTGCATTGTTTAACATAAATTCTTTAATTTCTTCTTGTACTGAATTTGTAATAGCTGGTGACAATAAAAGTTTGGTGTTTAATTTCCATGCATAAGTTTTTGGTGTTTGATCTCTTTCTAGCATCTTAGCTTCTACCCAAGAGTGGTCTGACCAGATTTTCGCTCCTATATTGGCTTCATAAAAATAATGTGATAACGAGGAAGATGCCAGAATATAATCTATTCTAGTATGAGTTGAATACCGGGGGGCGTAATAAGTAAAATCTTTAAGAGATGGATTCTGATGTCTCCATATGTCAATTAAATTAAATTGGTGAAAAAGATGTTTTAGACTTGTTGGTTTAGAGTTTAAATTTCCAAAGCAATGTGGGTGTCGCTTGGATAATTTGGTAGATTTATCCATGAGTTCATCAGTAATGTAGTTCAAATCTCCACCGATCACACAAGGTGATGAGCTAAAGGTATCAAGGTGAAATAGGGTTTCCTTTATAAAATTTAATTGGTCGTTATTCGGGGCATACATGGATACTAGAGTAATGTCTATACCATTTAGGGAGCCATTTAAAAAAATATAGCGTCCATTTGGATCTTGGTCTATTTTGTTTAAAGAGAATCTAATAGATTTATGAATTAAGATAGCCACGCCTCTTGACTTTGATGAGCCCTGAGCCTGAAATTGGTGGGAAAATTTGACAGTATTAAAAATTTTATCATAATTGTTTTTTAAATGAGTTTCTTGCAAAAATATTATCTGAGCTTGTTGTCTCAGAAGCGCTGACAGTACCCTCTTTCTCTTAATGGGCGAATTCAAGCCCCGGCAATTTAGAGAGAGAAATTGTATGTTATTGGATTGTCTAGCCATGGTCCCATAGGAGGGTAAGTGATTTTACCCAATTTCTCCTGTTGGAGAGATTATTATTACATACTAAATGTGATTGGCTTTCAAAACACCATTTAGTGGGGAAGGAACTTGGCAATAGTAATACAACAGACCTCAGGTCAATGGCAATACACTCAACAAAGGGTCTAATAAATACAAACAAGAACTGCAACATAACCATGTACAGAGTCATCTTGTGTACTCTGTATTCCCTGTCACGTAGGGAGTAGAACATGAAATTATTATAACTATTAGAGTTGGTTCAAGATAAGTGGGGGATAGTAAGAGGTCTCTTAAGGCCCCCCCCCCTCTAATATAATACATGTAATACATAATTAACAATTCTGGACACGTTGAGTTGTCCTATGGGCTCCAGACTACTCATATGCAGGGATTGACTTTTGTTATTACCAGGCATAATATACTTAGACTATAGTAGACAGAGTGATATGCCTATATCAAAGTTTGTGTGCTGTTTTGCCTCCATGG